TCTTCTTACAGACCGGAGGTCCCGGAGGATTTGATTTAGCTGGCTTGCTGAACAACCCCGGCTTCATGAGCATGGTAAATCTGGACAGGTCGCAGCCAGGCTGCGTCTGGGCCGTGCAGTTCTCTGTTCAGGGTGAAATGTCTCAGGACAGGGCTCGGGGAGTTGCTGTGTCTCGGTAGCAGATTTGTTTTCGTTCCATTTCATAAAGAGCCAGTGACTTACTCACGGGCTTCGTGTGCTGGCTGTGGAAAGGGTGCCTGTTCTGCATTACCAGCCTTGTCGTGTGTGTGGTGCTGTGCTTCTCTTGGCTATTTTTGTCCTATTGATCTGTTTCCAAGTATTTCTGTCTTCACTTTGTTCCTAGTTGAATGGCACAACATCTGCATATTTACCCAGGCATTTCTGACTAAATAGGGTGTCCTTTTTTTTCCCCCTCTTTAAATAGGCATCTAACCTAATGAACAACCCACAAGTACAACAGCTGTAAGTTTGATCCCGTCTTCTGTTTCCTCTGAGTCACTCTTTGAAGCTCGGGTGGGAGGGAGCGGGTACCAGAAGCGTGGAGGGCAGCCTCGGGGCAGCCTGATCTCCCCAGCCAGCACGTGTTTTGAGAGCTCTGGCCTTGCTGAAGAGGAGCCTCAAAGGGAAAAAAGATAGATCGTGGAATTGCCTTTGGGAAATTGGAGTCAGTTTGTCTCGGCTCAGTATTTATGTGGTCTGGGGACAGGATTTCACATCTCCATCTCGTTTGGGAGGAGAATATTTCCATGCTTTGTGCTGCAGAGCCATCAGGATCAATTCACAATGTTTGTCAGGTGCTTATACAATACAAATCCCTAAAATTAATGAGGTTCATGCCTCACCTGGCCGTGCTTTCAGAGCACAGGCAGGCAGCGAGTTAGAGACCTGAGCAGATTGTCCTTTGGCTGCTGTTGGGGACCGCCTGGTTGAAGGGCTGCGTGTCTGCTGCCCTTTCCATTTGGTTCTGCTCCTTCCACTGCTGTTGCCAGCTGAGGTTCAGAGCAAGCAGATTTCCCTGGGTGTTGTAATCAGACAGCACAGGGCTTGCACAAAGAGGGGGGATATCTGGGGATACAGTAGCTGACACTGTTAGAAATATTTCTGTGTATTGTGCGGGTCAATGCTGCGGTTGCTCTGCTGCAGTTAATGAATAAAAAGCTGTGGCAGGAGATTCCCTCACAGATAGCTCCATCATCAGTGTGGGGAGGTGTTCCTGTTAGGCTGACGTTCCCTTCCTCGCGTAAAACAACCGATTTCTGTGTCTTGTTTCGTTTTCTGAGCGTTGCCCCTTGTTTCCGCAGCATGTCTGGGATGATTTCTGGTGGCCACAACCCCATGGGAGCAGCAGGCACCAGCCCCTCCACGAATGATCTCGCCAGCCTCATACAAGCGTGAGTAGGGAGCTGGGTCCTTCCCAGGAAATTAATAACCTGATTTTTGGGTTTTCTGACATTTTTTCTCCTGCAGGGGCCAGCAGTTCGCGCAGCAGATGCAGCAGCAGAACCCCGAGCTAATAGAGCAGCTACGGAGCCAGATCAGGAGTCGAACTCCAAGTGCCAGCAACGAAGATCAGCAGGAATGAGCAGCCAGGTGAGGTGGTGAGCTTGCAGCCGGGAGCACCACTGCACCCTGGCCGGCTTAGCAGGGAGGATTTCAATATTTTGCTGCAAAATTTCGTGCCTAAATTAGCAGTTTGGTGTCTCTTTCCTCCCCTCTGTATAGACTGGGGTCTCTGCATCAGTAAGAGTTGGTGCCGTGCCTCAGAGGCACGAGGCTTAGCCCTGGGGAGTGATAAGAGCTCCCCTCGTGCGTCGTGTGACTGATAAATGAGTTTTGGTACCTAGCATTCACGGTTGTTAAAGGGGCGCTTTATTTTTCCTAAAAATTGAATTTGCCCATCTCTTGTCTCCCTGTCTCTGCAGCGCAGCCCGTGGGAACTTTGTTCTTTGCTTTAAAAACTGGAAGCCATGTGCGTGTTGCCATTTCTTGAGTCGGAAGTGTCCAAGAGGGGGGAAAAAAAAAAAGAAGAAAAAAACACAAAATACTTTATATGACCTGCATGTTAAAGACAGATTCACGCTTTCTTTCCCTAGTCTTCGTCCCTGCTCCTCCCCCTCAGCCTTTCCATTCGTTTTTTCTTCTGGAAGACCCAGCCAGCTGAACACAAACCAGCATCAACAGCCTTTCTAAAGAGACTCGGAGAATTACCTACACTGTTACATTTCTACGTTCTTTGCTACATGGGAATTTTTTAACCCGTTTTGGAAGAACGACGCGCTCTTCACTACAGGATCTCTTCACTCTCCTGCCCACGTGCCACTTCAAAGAAGTGTTCCAGGCCCTCCCCGTCCTGCTCCCCGTCACCTTCGCGCCAGTCCCGAGCTGGCGGCGTCCGAACGCTCCGGAGACCTCTGGATCTCGGGGTCTCCAGGAGCAGGGTTTTTCTGTTGATGACATTCGCTGCGTTCCTCGGGTCCGTAGCAGCATCGCCGGGGTTGCTCAGAGGTGGGCTTTGGCCACCGCCTCTCCACGGTTCGTGTAAATGTGTCGGGGGGGGGGGGGTTGGGACTGCTTAGGGCGAGCGTTTCCAGACACGTTTCTGGGGGCTCCTCCCCAGGCCTGGCAAAACTTGTCTAGTGTTTAGTAATTAATGGTTCTGTTGTCGGAATGATCCAATCTGTGAACTAGTCGGGTGGACAGTCAGAAAGCTGAGATATAATGTTCTTGGTGTTTCAAAAGGTTTCTCTTCTGCTTTTTAATTTGTCTTTTCTGCATGTCAGTAATCAACCTGGTGGACTGTGCTGGTGGTAGGAATAGAGGGCGCGTGAGTAGAGAGCAGAAGGAAGAGGAAAAACGCTCCTGGGACAGCACAGCACGGTGCTGAGCGGCTGCTGGTTCCACGCGGGGGCCTGGCAAAGAGAGGATCTGCCCCAAAAAATCATGGGGGGGATGAGGGGAAACGCTCTGGAGGCTGATCCAGCCTTCCACCCGGGGGAATTCCCCTTTGTCACTCCCAGGGCACGCGGGAGGCTCTGGGAAGTTCCCCCAGAAGTCGCTAATTGAGGCTGGGGGGGTTTTGCATCGACCTCAGGATGGTTTTAGGGTTCCTCGCTCGATCCTGGGGGGGGGAAGGCTGCTCCTGGCCTCAGGAAGCGTCCGGCTGGGAGGAGGGCGTGAGGTGGAGAACGCCCCTTGGGGAGAACCGGTGGGAGTGGGGGAGGAGCAGGTGTAGCTGACGATGAATATCAAGAAAAGACTGATTTGTAAATGCTCCGTAACTCCGTGGTTAATGTAACGTGTGAAGAATAAAAGATTTGGACACTCGCCTCCTGCTCCCTCTTACCCCCTGTGCCTGAAGCCAGACCTGGGGCCGGGCCCGTTCCAGGGCCTGCGGAGGTTTGTGTGGGGGTCAGAGCTTCCTCGGTGTCCTGAGGGCTGCGAGGCACCGCCTGGATGATTTTTTTCCACTTTTGCCATTTTTTTTTGGCTCCTTTTCTGCTGAAAACCCGGCGCCGTGCTTCATGCACCTGTATTTCGGCACGGCGCACGCGGTGTTTATGAACTGCTGCTTTCCCCCTCTGCCCCTTATGTGCCAACCAAGTGTTGGGACCAAGCAAAAGGAGAAGTTTTAGGCCTGTAGGATGGGGCGGAAAGAAAAAAAATGTGAATCATCCAAAATAATGAAACTAGGATTTTTTTTCTCTTATTTTTTGCATCTCCTCAGGGCTGCTCACCCTCACTCCTTACGCTGCTCGCCCTGTTGTCCTTGTAGCTCTTCCCTCACCTCTCTTCATGTTTTTTCTACACCTCCGTGTAAAAAAACTGCTATTAAGATCCCAAAAACCTGATTTTTTTTATATTTTTTAGCCCATTTCCCCTCACCCTGCAGCCCCTTGGGCCCTGTATTTAACACCAGGATTTAATGAACGGATTTCCGCCGTTCTTTAACCAAACCCAGCCCGAGCCCTGCTGGAAGCCGAGGCCCCCCCCGGTGCCGGTCCCGGTCCCGGTCCCGGCCCCGTCAGCACCGGCGGCCCCGGACAGCGCTGCGGGCCCGGCGCTACCCCGGAACCTTCGGTCTCCGTCCCCGTTTCCAGACGGGCTCCGTTCCGCGCCGCACCCGGGGGCTCTGGCAGCGTGCCCAGCCTCAGGGCGTGGGCGGGCTGACGGGCAGCCCCCTCGACCAATCACCAGCCGAGCTGCCCCCTCTCAGCCAATAGGAGGGCGGAGGACGCGAGCGGGGGCGGGCGTTGTGCGGGGGCCGCTTGGACGGGGCGCGAGCGGGAGCCGGAGCGTGAGTGGGGGGGCAACGGGGAGCGGGGGGGGGGGCGGTTGCCGGGGTAACGGCGGGGGGCGGGGCTGCTGGGGGCAGGGGGAACTGGGGTAACTGGGGGGGTAACTGGGGGAACTGGTGAGGTCAGGGGTGGGGGAAACTGGGACTGGTTGGGGGGGGAACTGGGAGACTGGGGCGGTTGGGGGGATAACGGGGGCCCGGGGTCCGTTACTGGGGTAACTGGGGCAGACGGGGAAGGGAACTGGGGAGGTTGGGGGGTGGAACTGGGAGAACTGGGGCTGTTTGGGGGGGGAACTGGTACGGCCGGGGGGGGGTAACTGGGAGAACTGGGGCGGTTGGGGGGGGAACTGGGGGAACTGGTGAGGTCAGGGGTGGGGAACTGGGGCGGTTGGGGGGGGAACTGGGACGGTTGGGAGGGGGTAACTGGGAGAACTGGGGCGGTTGGGGGGGGAACTGGGGCCCGGGGTCCGTTACTGGGGTAACTGGGGCAGACAGGAAGGGAACTGGGGTAACTGGGACGGTAGAGGGGGTAACCAGGGACCTGGGGCTGTTACTGGGGGAACTGGGGCGGTCGAGGAGGGGGAACTGGGACAAATGGGACAGTCAGGAGGGGTTAACTGGGGCAACTGGGGCTGGTGGGTGGGTAGGTGGGGTAACTGGGGCGGTCGGGGGGGTAACTGGGGGCCAGGGGGCGCTCCTGGGGTAACTGGGACTGTCAGGGGTGGGGCGGTGAGCCCGGCGGCGCTGAATTAATTCTTTTTTTATTTTTTTACAAAATTTTCAGGCTGCCGAGGTCGTCCGGGGCGTTGGAGGCAGCGCCTGCCGCACGTCGGGACGGAGCGCGAGGTATTCCCGCTGCACTTTGTGGCTCAGCTGCTTTTCCTCCGCGGGTCGCGGGGCACCAGGGGAGCTCCAGGCTCTGCTGGGGGCTTCGGGCTAGGAAAAAAAAAAAAAAAAGAAAAAAAGAAAAAAGCAAAGGGTTTGCTGAGCTTCCTCCAGGGGAGGTGAGAATTGTGGAAAAAGGAAATTTTTTGCCTCCAGTGATGTCTCAGGTGTCCCTATCCCGGGAGCCGCGTGCGGTGCCTCGGCACCCAGCAAACGAATTCCCTTCTGTTTTGGGACCCCACGAGGGGTTATTTTGGAGGGATTTTAGGCTCAGGGCTCGCTCAGACCCGGCTCCTCTGCTGGGTTCAGCAGGAGCGAGTCGAGCGGCATCACCCGAGCTGGGTTTTGTGCTGAACGGCGCTTTCCATTCAGCAGGACCCGCTCATGTCCTTAAAAATAGATTTAATTTCGTTATTATTTTTTTAAATGGCTCTAGGAAAACGACTTTAACTGCTGCTGCACCTAACCTGGAGGGAAAAATTTCTGATTGAGCCACTTGTCATGACCCAGGCAGCTCAGACCTTGCGTTTTTCTCACCATCTGCCTCTTTTGTCACACGCTGTGGGTTTGAAACCCTCGCAGGGGATTTCCCCTCAGGTTTTCCCTTTAGAGCACATTGACCGGTAACCAAAATTCGGTAACCAAAATTCCTCTGGCTCCTGGGACAGAGCAAACAGCCACCTGCAGAGGCAGCGACCCGCCCCGGCAGGACGGTGACGGTGGCTCAGGACCAAATCTGCTCGTCTCATTTGAAGGGAGTCCTTTAATTTCATTTCCCAGTGAAATGGAGAGCCACCAGCACAAGCCCACCTTCATTTCTCGTGGTTAACATCAAAGCCTCCACCCTTTGGCCGGGCTCAGGTGGATTTTAAGGCAAGATGGAGCAGTTTGTGCCTGGCGCTGTGTGGGTGTTTCTAAAGAACCTCTCTTTTCCCTCCTGCCCACAGCTCTGCTCCGGGAGCACCTCTCCCTTCGCCCTTTGCCTGCTGCAGCCCCCCCCGGGCAGCGCCATGAAGATCGTGGTGGCCAAAGTTCTGTGCCTGCTGGGCATCTGCGTCCTCATGCTGGCCGGCTCCCTCCTCCCCGTCAAGATCATCGAGGCCGATTCCGAGAAGGCTCAGCGCTCCAGGAAAGTCATCGCCCTCTGCAATTCCTTCGGAGGAGGGGTCTTCCTGGCCACCTGCTTCAACGCCCTGCTGCCGGCCGTCAGGGGCAAGGTAACTGCTGACAGCCCCCGGGGGGCTGCGGGGAGCCTGTGCTGCTCTGTGCACCCTGCCCCTGGGGACGAGGAGGGGTAGGGGCCACCCCCAGCCAGAGGGACCCCTTAAGCCCCCTCAGAAACCTCTGGTGTTTCAGGTCACGAAGGAAAACAGCCCCTGCCTCCCATTCAGCTCCCGTGGAGCCTGCTTGGGAAGTTTTTGTGATGCAGAAGGAGGCTGAGCATCACCTGGGGGGCTGGGCTCAAACTCCTGCCCTCGAGGCAGTGTTTGAAACACCCAGAGAGCCCCCGAGCTCCTGCTGGAAGGCAAAGAGCTCCCCAGTTCCTTACACCAAGGCCTGGATGCAGGCTGTTAAAGCATCACAGATGAGTTTTGTGTCATTGTGGGTGCACAGCAGGAATATTTCATTGCTATGGAGCCCAGATTTCCCCCCTCTCTTCTGCTGCTGGACATTTTCTTCCCAGAAGGGGCTTTGTAGGAAACTGGGAGAGCTTCCTGACGGCTCCCTGGGTGCCTGTAGGGATCCGAAGGTTTGTTTCACCGCGGGCTGTGTGCTTTGTCCTAGCTCGACGAGGTTCTTAAGCAGGGGAACGTGACCACGGACTACCCGGTGGCTGAGACCATCATGATGCTTGGCTTCTTCGTCACGGTCTTCGTGGAGCAGCTCGTCTTGACCTTCCAGAAGGAAAAACCTTCCTTCATCGACCTGGAGACCTTCAACGCCGGCTCGGATGTGGGCAGCGACTCGGAATACGAGAGCCCCTTCATCGCCTCGTCCCGCGGGCACGGCCGGCACGGCCACGGCCTGAGCCCCCAGGAGCTGTCCCGCTCCAGCCCCTTGCGGCTCCTGGGCCTGGCTTTTGCCTTGTGCACCCACTCCATCTTCGAGGGCCTGGCCCTGGGCTTGCAGGAGGAAGGAGGCAAAGTCCTGAGCTTGTTCCTGGGCGTCGCCATCCACGAGACGCTGGTGGCCGTGGCGCTGGGCATCAGCATGGCCAAAGCCTCGCTGCCCATGAAGGACGCGGCGAAAATGGCCGTGACGGTCAGCCTGATGATCCCCCTGGGCATCAGCATCGGGATGGGGATCGAGAGCACCCAGAGCGCCGCCAGCAACGTGGCCTCGCTGCTGCTGCAAGGCGTGGCGGGGGGAACTTTCCTCTTCATCACCTTCTTTGAGATCCTGGCCAAGGAGCTGGAGGACAAGCACGACCGCCTGCTGAAGGTCCTGTTCCTGGCGCTGGGCTACGCCGTGCTGGCGGGGTTGGTTTTCTTCAAGTGGTGAGGTCGGGAGCGGTGGGGGACCCAACCTCACCTCCTGCCCCTCGCGGCCGGCCCCGAGAGGAGCCTGCTGGCAGCCCAGGGGGGACGCTGAAGCTTGGCAGCCACACCGAACACCCCGATCCAGGAGGTGTTTCGGCAGCGACCCGAAGGAGGAGAGTTTTCTCCTCTGTGCTCAGAGGGAGAGGAAAAAAAACCCACGAGGAGTGTCCCAGCGTAGGGGTCACGAGGCGCTGCCCCTGCCCCTCGGGTCTGCGGGTGCAGAGAGGACTGGGGACAGCACTGAGGCTGCTTCTGGGGCTGCCCCCAGAGCTCTCGGGCTCGTTGTTTCCCGTTGACCTGCACAGCCGCCCCCTCCCTCCCTCCTTCCCCTCGCACAAACTCGGGCCGAGCCTCGGCTTCCTTCCCACCCAGGCTCTGAGGAGGTGAGAAACCGGGACCGAAACGAAGGCAGAGGCAGGTGGGACCGCGGCTCACACAGCTGCACTAAGCTGCTCCTGCTCGCTTCGTTTTTGAGCAAAACCTGGTTGTAATAGCTGCCAAAAATAACATCCCTGCTGGGGCTGCTCGGGAGGACTGTTGCCACAGCTCCCGCTGAGCCCAGCTTCCATTTTAACCCACAAACGGCTCCAGGAGCTTTTCCTTCTCGGAGTGATTAACGGCAGGAACGAGGCCGGGCCCTGCCCCATCCCCTGCTCCGTTCTCCTCGTCTCATCCCCTGAAGAAAACCTGCAGCCGCGTTAACGCATCCTCGGAGAGATCTCACGCCCCTGTACCTGAAGCCCGGGATCCATTAGCGCGTGAGAAACGGGCAGCAGCAGCCTCCAGCATTAATATTTCAGGGCAAGTGCTTTATTTCACGTTTAAATCATCTGCAGGGAACCGAGCGGCTGCAGGGCTGCTCCCCGGCCTCAGCCCCGGATTCCAGCGGTGAGGTTCTGGGGGGGGGCGTCCTGCTGCTGCTTTCAAAGGAGGGAGAGGAGAAATCTCTTCCCCGGGGGCTGATTAAAGCAGCCTCCATCTGACAGCAGCGTGCCCGCGGGGAGCTCGCTGTGCCCGCATCCCGCAGCGATCCCTCGTGTTCGCCCTCCTGGGCCGGGAGCTCGGATCAGAGGCTGGCAGCAGGAGCGAGCCCCCTCCGCTCCCCCCCCCGGCCTCGTTGCTTTGGCAGGAGATGGATTTTAACAAGACGTGGCCATCGCTCCTGCCGCAGCTCCCCCAGGCAGAGCAGAGCTCCTGGAGGCAATGATGGAGCCATAACAGCGTGGAGGCTCCGTGGAGGCTCCGTGGAGGCACCGCAGCCCCTGACCACGACCCAGAAGGAGCGGGGGGGCTGCGAACCAGCCCCCCGGAGCAGCTCTTGGCACAGCTGCAGCGCGTGGAAGCTGATGGGGGGGGAGCATCTGACGGGGCCTGGTGCTCGGCGCCTTAATTGCTGCAACGAAGCCGAGTCAATTAATCTGGCTTTGAAAAACCTGGAGTGGGAAGGGGGGGGGGGGGAGGAGGGAGAGGGAGAGGGTTATTTTGGGCCTGCGATGACACAAATTAGCAGGGCCTGACGAGAATGGAATTTGCTTGGACGTGGTGAACCTGGGGGTGTTATTTCAATTTCACCTCCCCCAGCAGCCCTGGGGGGGGGCGTGCTGGGACCTGCTGCTTTCTGCTGCTCATCCCGGGCAGGTGGGATGCTGGCTCCTGTTCTTCTGCCTCCATCTCCTGTGTCATTTTGTTTCTTTTTTTGCAGCTATTTGCTCTATTTGAAGAATCCTTCCCCCAGCTGGGGGGGGGGCGGAGGGGTCTCGCAGAGCATCACCGCTGCCCCCCATGGCTGGCGGGGTGGCTGTGGGCAGTGTGGTGTGGGGGGGGTTGTGCTGGATCCCCAGTTTTTTCACCTTTTTTTGTCCCGATGGGGTGTGGGAGCAGCCTGGTGGGGGGCCACACAGCACAGGGGGTGTCCCTGGCACCGGGGGGGGGCTTTGCCTGTCCCTGACAGTCGGCTCCTGCCTGTGGAGGAGGAAGACCCCCGCTGTGCTCCCAATAAACACCCTGCCCCTCTCCACCTTGCTGCCTCTTTATTTCCAAGCCCTGCGCCTCGCCACCACCTCGGGGTGCCCGGATCAGACCCCGCTGCCCCTTCCCCATCCCAGGGACGTGCCCGAGCTCCTGGGGGGGAGCGGAGAAGGGCAGCAACCCCCCCTCCCCCATGCAGCCCCCATCCCTTTGCAGCCCCGCGCGTGCGCGGCCGCCCCGCAGCAGCCAGCAGAGCCCCCGTTGCGTCAGGCGTCGCGGGGAGCTGGGGAGTGAATGAACGGAGGAGGAGCCGCAGCTAAAATGATCAAGGAAATTCATTCATTTCCTCTAACGAGTAGTACCCGGCTGCCTCAGAACGCTGCGGGGACTGGGGGCTGCAGCTGGCGGCCCCCCAGGACGAGGCCGGTGTCCCCCACAGGGGCTCATGGCCTTTGGGGGGGGGGTTCACATTGGGGTGCGTGTCGCTGGGTGCCGTGGTGGGGGCCACGCTGCTCCTCCAGCAGCTATTAATAGCAGCTGCGGATTTTAATTGCTGCTGCTCATCAGGGAGGGGGAGTCACGAGGCCCGGCAGTGCCACCCGGCAGCCCCCGGCCCCACGCGGGGCCTGCAGCCCCCGGGGGCTTTGAGAGCCCCCTGTGTGTGCCTGGGTGTCCCCCTGTCCCCGTCCAGGTGTCCCTGTCTGTGTGTCCGTGTCCATCCCCGTGTCCCTCTGTCCCCTATCCGTGTCTGTGTGTCCCATCCTTGTCCTCACGTCCCCAGCTGTCTGTGTCCCATCCCTGTCCGTCTGTCCCCATCCTTGTCCATCTGTCCCCACCCCTGTCCGTGCGTCCCAACCCTGTCGGTGCGTCCCCATCCCTCTCTGTCCGTCTGTCCCTATCCCTGTCCGTCTGTCCCTGTCCCCATCCGTGTCCGTGTGTCCCATCCCTGTCCACGCGTCCCCATCCCCATCTGTCCGTGTGTCCCCGTCCCCATCCCTGTCCATCTGTCCCCATCCCTGTCCGTCTGTCCCCATCCCTATCAGTGCGCCCCCATCCCCGGCTGTCCCCCTGTCCCCATCCCTGTCCCCCCCTCCCAATCCTTGTCCCTGCCCCGATCCCAGTCCCCCTCCCCGTCCCTGTCCCTGTCCCGGTCCCGGTCCCCCCATCCCGGTCCCGCTCTGCTCGGGGCTGAGCCCGGGGGTCCGGCGGGGCGGGCGCGGCGGGCGGGGCCGGCGGCGGGGCGGGCTCGGCTCTGCGGCGGCCGCACCGCACCGCACCGCACCGAGCCGTGCTGAACCGAACCGAGCCCAGCCGAGCCGTGCACAGCCCCCCCCCCGGCCCCACCGCACCGCTCCCGGTCCCTCCGGACCCGACCGGGCCGTCCCGGGCCGAACCGAACCGAGCCGAGCCGAGCCGGGCGAACCGGAGCCGCCGCACCGGGAGCGCACCGGGAGCGCACCGGGAGCGCACCGGGGCCGGGCCGGGCCATGCGCTGAGGCCGCCGCGCAGCCCGCAGCCAAGGGCGGATCCCGGGCAGGACACGGTGAGGCGGCGGCACCGCAATGCGCCCCACGGGGGGACCGGGAAAGGGCCGGGGGGCGGCGTGGGGGGGGGGTCCCCGGCAAGGGCAGGGCACGGCCGGGAGCGGGGCGGGGACCCGAGCCGTCCCTGCCCCCGTTCCCGTCCCTGTCCCCATCCTCCAGCCCCATCCTGCCCCCCCAGCATCCTCCTGCTGCTGCTGCTCCTCCATCCCCGTCCCTCTCTCCTCCATCCTCAGCCCTCTCCCCTCCATCCCTATTCCTCTCCTCCCTCCCCATCCCTCTCTCCCTCCCCTTTCCCCCTCCCATCCCCATCCCTCTCCCCTCCATCCCCGTCCCCCTCCTCCCCCCCCATCCTGCCCCTCTCCCCCCCCCCATCCCCAGCCCCCCACCCTCTGTTTGTCTCCCCCGGCGCTGGGGGGGGGGGCGCTGAGCTGGAGGATGCGTGGGGGGGGTGCAGGGGGTGCAGAGCCCCGGCAGGATCAGGCCCCATCCCCAGTGTTGTGTTCACAGGGAGAGGGGCTGGTGGGGGCCAGGCGATGCCATGGGGCCCTGGGAGCACCCCTGGGTGCTGCAGAGGCCCCATCCTGCCCCCCCCCCTGGTGCCCCACGCCGTGGCAGTGGGGCTGGGGGCATCTTTGGCCGTGCCGTGGGCAGGTGGGACCGGCAGGACCAAGCTCTGGCATCCCCAGGCACCGGCTGAGCCACGGCCTCTGCTCCGTGTCCGTGTGCCCACGACGCCTCCGGGCCCGTGGGGGCATTTTCCTGCCCTGTGCTGCAGGACCCAAAGCAGAACGGGCTCCTCGGTGCCAAGGCCACGGCCATGGGCTCCTGCCCCGGCCACGTGCGTGCCCGGGTGCCTGGGGACGTGCTGGGGCCTGTGGGGTCCCCTGGATGCACACAGGGCTGAGGGACCTGGGGCACCCCATGGGAGCGGGACAGACCTGACCCCAAACCCAGCCATCCGAACCCAAACCGTGCCCTGGTGCCCCGCTCAGGTGCCCGTTCCCATCCCTCCAGGTGCCTTTGGGATGGCTCCTTTGGGAACGCAGCCCCACGGCAGCATTAACCTCTCCAAACCATCACGCTCTGCCGGGGGAGCCAAGATGCTCCTGCACGCACGGGGACGCCCCATGGGGACCCGGCAGGACACGAGCCTGCAGCCGTGTGTCACCCGTGGCCGTGTGTCACCATCCCCCAATGTCACCAACCCCCGGTGCCTGCAGCCCCGCTCCGTCCCCGGGCTGGGAGCGGTGGCACGGGGCAGCGCAGCAGGCGCCGAGCTCTGTGCGTGAAATGGCACCTCCTTACGCAGCAGATCCGGCACCGTGGCAGAGCCGGGGGGGCTGCGGGCACCGCTGGCTCCTCGCTGGGCCGGGGGCTGCCCCACGGCACCGCTCCCGCTGCCGGGGGTGCCCGCCGTGACCCCCCCCCCTCCTCTCCATCAGTCTCAGCCGCAGCTGCTGCGCCGGTGGCCACGGCTCGGCCATATGGCCGCGGCACGGGGGGGCTGGTAAAAATAGCCAGAGCTGCTGCACCCCCGGCGGGCCAGCGCCATCCTGCCCCGCTGCCCGGCAAGGGCGTCCCAAGGGCAGGGGGAGTTTTGGCACCTGGGGGGCCCAGGACCCCCCGCGCTGTATCCAGGATGAGAGCACCACCAGAGCAGGGGGCTGGCGAGGGTTTTGGGGGTGTCCCTGTTGCCCCCCCAGGCTGGTGCTGGGGGTTTCCATCCCGAAGCCCCCCGCTGGCACCGTGACGCGCGCCCTCTGCCCTCTCCTTGCAGCGGCGGCAGCTTCTCCGGGGCACGATGCCGGAGCAGAGCAACGACTACCGGGTGGTGGTGTTCGGCGCCGGCGGCGTGGGCAAGAGCTCGCTGGTGCTGCGCTTCGTCAAGGGGACGTTCCGGGACACCTACATCCCCACCATCGAGGACACCTACCGCCAGGTGATCAGCTGCGACAAGAGCGTCTGCACCCTGCAGATCACCGACACCACGGGCAGCCACCAGTTCCCGGCCATGCAGCGCCTCTCCATCTCCAAGGGCCATGCCTTCATCCTGGTCTTCTCCGTCACCAGCAAGCAGTCCCTGGAGGAGCTGAAGCCCATCTACCAGCAGATCGTGCAGATCAAGGGCAGCGTGGAGAGCATCCCCATCATGCTGGTGGGCAACAAGTGCGACGAGACCCAGCGGGAGGTGGAGAGCCGCGAGGGGGAGGCCGTGGCCAAGGAGTGGAAGTGCGCCTTCATGGAGACCTCGGCCAAGATGAACTACAACGTCAAGGAGCTCTTCCAGGAGCTGCTCAACCTGGAGAAGAGGAGGAACGTCAGCCTCACCATCGACGGCAAGCGCTCCAGCAAGCAGAAGAGGACAGACAAAATCAAGGGGAAGTGCAGCGTCATGTAGAGCCCCGGACTGGCCCGCGCGCCCCCCTCCCGGTGTCCCCTCCCTCCCCTCCTCCACGGCCGGACAGCGGTGGCATCGCAGCGGGGCCGTCCCCTCGCCCTCCCCGTGGCCGTGTTGGGGGGGGGCTGTGGCAGGTCGGCGGCCCCAGGGGTGGGGGGCAATGGTGGGGCTGGGCCATGGACCCGTGGGGACATGGATGGGGACACGAGGCCGGGCACGCGTCCACGCACCGCAGCACAACCGGACACTGGGACACGGGGACGGGGACAACGCGTGGGGACCCCACCGGGAGCAGAGCCCGGGGCCACGGAGCGGGTCCCGGCCCCCCCAACCCCCCTTGGGCCCCGTGCATGGGAAGGACGGCGCCAGGCGGGGGTGGCGGTGTCACCCCCCGGGTGACAGTCACACCACTCCCGGGCTCTCCCCGTGCCCCTTGCTGCACTCTTCCCTGGGCAGGATCCCCCCCTCAGCTGCACCCCGCTGCCCGCAGAGCCCCCAGCCCCATTCCCATCCCCGGTCCCCCCCCCCAGCAGCCCGGAGCCGCCAGCCCAAGCACAAAGCATCGGGTCCGACCGCGGTCCTGACCCAGCACAATCCTGGCGAGCTCGGACAGAGCCCCCCCCCCAGCACCCCCACCGGCCGTGAATGCGGTCGGGGTCCCCCCTGCTCCTGCAGAGCCCCCCCCAAATCCCCAGCACCCCCCATCCGCTGTCCCCCCACCCTATGGCCCCCCAGCTTGTTCCCCCCCAGCCGGAGCGGGGCCCCCGTGCCGCCAGCAGCCCCCCCAAATCCTTTTGGGGTTCGCCCCTCTCTCCGGCCCCACTCCCCCTGCCCCGGGGCCACGCAGCCCCCACGCCACGGGGGTGCCAAGAGCAGGGCGGCCCCCCCCCCTTCGTGCTGCACCCCCTCCCCGCTCCCCCGGCGTTTTAGGAGGCGAGCCGAGCGACCAGGGGACAAGGTGCCGCGACGATGTAGCCTTTATTCTAGAAATAGTCTTCCTTCAATAAAGAGATGAGAAACGCTCCTGCCTCCCCGCCGGACCTGGGGGGGGGGCTCAGGGCCATTGGGGGGGGGGCTCAGGGCCATTGGGGGGGGGGAAATAGGGAGATTAGGGTGTGAGTGTGATGTGTGATGTGTGTGTGTGTGCGTGTGTGTGCGCGCACGAGCGCTCACCGTGCGCACCCGCGTGCCCGCGCACGGGGGCCGCCAATGGGTGCCCCCCACCCCTCGTTGCCGGTGCGGGCTGGCGGCCCCATAGGGAGGGTGGGAAGGGGAGGGGAGGGGGTGGGAGCGCGGGGCCTGCGTCATCATCATCATCATCATCATCATCATCATCATCATCATCATCATCATGCCAGTTGCCATGGCAACCATCCGCTCCCCCGGCGCTGCGGCCGCGTGGGCACGCGGGTGCGGGTGGGGGGCCGGGGGGACGCAAGGGCCTCGGCAAGGGCACGGCTCTACGGGGGTGGCACGGCCCCATAGGGATGTCGTGACCCCATAGGCATGGCACGGCCCCATAGGGATGTCGTGACCCCATAGGCATGGCACGGCCCCATAGGGATGTCATGGCTCCATGGGGTTGTCATGGCCCCATAGGGATGGCACAGCCCCATGGGGATGGCACAGCCCCATAGATGTGGCACGGCCCCATAGGGATGGCATGGCCCCATAGGGATGTCACAGCACCCTGGGGACAGGCACAGCACCCGGGGGGTGTCACAGCACCCATGGGTGTCACAGCACCCTGCCACCAGCCATGGGAACCTCTCCCATCCCCGTGTCCCCAGCAGGTGAGCGGGACGGGCACGTGAGGACATGGGGACACCCAGGACTGGTCCCCACCCATTGGGACCCCCAGTGGGGTGGCAGAGACCCGGACCCGGCTGGAAGGCTCACGGATATTTATGGGGGGGTCAAAAAAATCCCCAAACACACCCGGAACCTACAGCTGCTCTGCGGCGTTTTCAGCCTGGGGACAAAATGGGGAAGTCCCCCCCCTGCCCCCATTCCCGTGCCTCTCATCCCCCCCCGGTTCCGTTTCCATCCCCAAAAGGAAGCAGAAAGAGGGGCCCGGACCAGCCCCCCACCCCCCACCCCATTCTGGCTCAATTCTTCCTCTTCTGACACCAAAACCCCGTGCGGGGATGGAAACGGGCTCGGGGAGCGGGGGCACGGCACCGTGCGCCCCCCTCCCTGCCCATGGCCTTGCGCCAGCTCTCAGCACCCCCGGGGCAAAACAACGGGGACAAAAGGCGATTTGGGGTCAAACCGGGCAGGATTGGGGGTGCCACAGTCCCTTGACCCCCGATCCATGAGCAGCCAAAAATAAATTTGGTTTTGAAACCCACGAAGAGCTCCGGGGCGGGGGTCACAGCGGGGCCCCGTGTCCCCCCCCCCCCCCCCAGTGTGTGGCTGGAGCCATATGGGCGCAAATGGGATTAGGGGAATCGGCCTCCAGCCCGCTAACGGGATTACAGCTCCGCAGCCCAAACCCCAGCGGCCACACGACTGCTTCTGCGCTCAGGATGGAGGCATACTGGTGCATACTGGTGCATACTGGTGCATACTGGTGCACCCCAAGGATGCGACCCCCCATCCCCGTGCGCCCCCAGGGCCCCAAAGCCCTGATTCAGGGCACCGTGGGGGGGTCGCTGGGGGGGTCATTGGGGTTTCTTGCACCCCGTGACTGCCGCCTGCAGCTGATTCACCCGCTGGGATTTTCCCCGTGTCCCCCCCCCTGCTGTAAAACCCTGGGGGGGGGTTGGGGGGAGGCTGGATGGGGGCTGGGGGCGGCTGCTGGGGATCTGGGGGGGGGGACACTGGGACTTGGGGGGCAGCACTGGGGTTTTGGGGGGAGGGCACTGGGATTTAGGGGGGGCGCACTGGGATTTTGGGGGGAGCATCACTGGGATCGGGGGGGCAGTATGGGGATTTTGGGGGATTTTGGGGGTCAGGACTGGGATTTGTGGGGGCAGCAATGGGATCGGGGGAGGGACACTCTGATTTTGGGGGGCAGCACTGGAATTTTGGGGGCAGAATGACTGGGACCAGGGGCAGGACTGGGATCTGGGGGGGCAGCAATGGGATCTGGGGGGGGACACTGGGATTTGGGGGGCAGAGCCAGGATTTTGGGGGGCAGCAATGGGGTTTTGGGGGGAGGGCACTGGGATTTAGGGGGGCCACTGGGATTTTGGGGGGTCAGGACTGGGATTTTGGGGGTCAGGACTGGGGTTGGGGGGGTCAGGACTGGGATTTTGGGGGTCCAGAACTGGGATTTTGGGGGGGGGCAGCACTGGGATCGTGGGGGGACATTGGGATTTGGGGGGAAATATCACGAATTGGGGGGAAATATCAGGATTTTGGGGGTCACCCCCAGGATTTGGGGACACCCGGCTCCGCTGCCGCCCCCCCGCTCCCCCTCATTAATATTAATCACCTCATTTACATAACCCCGCCCATTTTCCCCGCCCCGCTCTCCCATTGGCTGCCCGCCCCGCCGCTCCCCATCCCCCCTCCCCTCTCCCTCCCTCCCCCTCCCTTCCCCGCGCCGCCGCCTCACCCTAACCTGCTGCCTGCCCCTCGCCCCGCCCCCTCCTCCCCGCGCGCCCCATTCCCGGCTCTCCCATTGGCTGGCGGCGCTGCCCGTCAGCGGGGGGGGCGTGGCCGGGCGCCCCCCGCCCTGCCCGCGCCCGGCGGGGCCGCCCAGCAAGCTGCGTTGCGCGGCAGCGGCTGCTGGCTCCGGCGGCGGCGGCGGCGCCTCCCCCCCCCCCCAAAATTCCCGGTGCCCCCCCCCCACCACGGTTCGGAGCCCCCCCCCCCCCCCCGGGACCGGTGAGGAGATTGGGGGGGGGGGAAACTGGGCAAAGGGGGGGGGTTTGGGGGGGGTCCGGTGCAGGCCGCGGCCTGGTGGAGCCCCCGGGCTGAGGGCACGGTGGAAAGGGGGGGGGGGGAGTGGGGGGGTCTAGGGGGGGGATGGGGAGGGGTCGTGGGGGGTTGGGGAGGGAGGGGGGGGGATAAAGGGGGGGGTGGGGAGGTAAAAAGGGGGGGGTTAGGGGGTTAAAGGGGTGGTTGGGGGGCTTGGGGGGGGCGCTGGGGGGTCTGGGGGGGGCTTGGGGGGCATGGGGGGGGCTCTGGGGGGGGTGGGGGGGGTGGGGTTGGGGGTTAGGGGAGGTCTGGGGGGGTGGGGGGGGCCTGGGGGTGCTGGAGGTTGAGGGAGGGGGGAGGGGCTGGGGGAGGGGGGCTGGGGTGGGGGGGTGATGGGGGGGTCATTAAGGGGTGTGGGGGGGGTGTAGGGGGGCTTTTGGGGCGGGGGGGCCGTGCTGGGGTCTCAGGGTGTTTGGGAAGGGGCGAGGGGGGGGGCTGGAAGGGGGGTGCGGGGGGTGGTTGGAACCCACGGGGGGGTTTGGGACCCGCTGTTTGGGGGGGGGGGGGGCAGGCGGGGCACAGCCCCAGAACCCCCCCGCGGGGGCTGGGGGGAGGCTGGGGGGGGCGATGCCCCCTGGTGGGGTCACAGATGGGGGAGTTGGGGGGTGCAGGGGGTCGGGGCAGAAAGCTGGGGGGGGTCCCAGTGGCTGGGGGGGGGGTCTGGTGGGAGGGGGGGGCAGGGGGGGGGTCAGTGCCTGGGGGGCGTTGTGCTGTGAGACCCCCAAAGGGAGGGGGTGACTGCACACAAAGGCAGGAACCCCTCTGCCCCCCCCCCCCATAATTACTAATCAGCACAAACGAGCTGCAGGTGCCCCCCCCAGGAGCAGGGTCTGGACCCCTACAGCCCCCCCCCAGCAGCAGGGCCATGGGGTGCCCCCACTGGGGTGCCCCCAAATGTGTCCCCGGCCCCCCCTGAGCACAAAGGATCGCAGGGCGCTGGGGCTCCTCACCCTGTGCTTGTAAAGGAGGGGGGAAAGTTGTGGGGTTTAGGGTGCTGGGTCACATTTCGTGTGTTTTTTTGGGGGAAAACCGGCAGAGTTTGGGGCTTTTTGTGGCCGTGCTCCCGGCGGGCGAGCCGACCTGTGGTGCGCCGCAGCAGCAGCGGGTAACCCGATCTGCAGCCCGAGCCCCGGGGGTAAATCCGAGGCCTTTTAGGTAATTATTGGGTTTCCCTAACGAGCTGCTCCCCTATGGGGTGTGTAGGGCCGGGGCAAGGCCTTTGTCCCATGGGGTCTCACCCGCTGCTGGGATGTCCAAGCCTTGGCGGTGCGTGGCCCTAAAACGAGACCCCGAGACCTCAGGGGTTGGGTTTGTCGACTTCTGGTTCCAGCCATCCTGGGGAAAATGCCCCCAAAAATTGGGATCGAGATCTGGGGGGGGTCCTTCTGCCACCCTTGGTGCTGCCGGGGGGGCTGCTGGGGGGTTTGGGGGCTGGCACAGGAGGTGCCCTGACACGGGGCCACCAATTTTCCTCCCGTTTTAGCCCTGACCCCGCGCTGCTGGAGGCAATCGGTGCTCCCGGACACCGGGGTCCTGCCCCGGGGAGGCGTCATCCCGGCGGGCACGGGGCCGGGGCTGGGGCCGGTGACTCAGGGCTCGGAGGTTTGTTCCCCGCTCTCACGCTTCCCCTGCGGCCGGCCCGACTTGTGCCTTCCTGCCTCGTTTCCTTATCTGCCCGCCGGAGATAACGGAGGGGAGGGGAGGGGAGGGGAGGTGGGCGCCCTCCTCCTCCTCCTCCTGCACCCCCTGCTCCTGCCCCGCTGGCTGCCCCTAACCCCTGGGCGCTGGGAATCGCTGCTCGGTCGCTCGCTGGTGCCAAGGGGGAAGTTTTTTTTGGCTCCTTGGCGAAGGGCAGAGCTCGAGCCGTCGTTTCCAAAGCGCCTCCTTGTCCCTTCGGTGATGGAGCTGGGGTCCGAAGGAGGATTTTGGGTCGGTCGTCCTGCGCTCACCTCTCAGAAATCACCCGAATTTTGGTGCTGCTCGGCAGGAGGTTGGCCAAAGGGATGGCCACCTCGCTGCGTCGGGGCTCGGCACCCCAAATGGGTGGCTGTGCAAAGAGCAGGGAGGTGTCTGCGGTCGTTTTGGGGGGTTTTGGCGTGGGGAGGGCAGAGCGAGAGAAAAGGGGGAGATAAAATATTGGTGTGGGGTCGCTGGTGCCCATCACGGTCCTGCCCCACGCCTCCAGCGCTGCGCTCCCCACCTTGACGAGGACTCGGAGGGCAGGGGGGCTGGTGGGACATGTTCCCGTTCCTCGTTACGGGTTTGCAGAACTCCAGGAGAAACCAAAATGGGAAGGGAACAAAACTAAAGGACAACGTAAATGCAATTCCCTGCCGCGGCTTGGCTTGGCCACGGTGCCATAAGGACAAACCAGCAAAAAACTGGGGTAGACTTCTTAAAAAAAAAATCAGTGTTTTACGTTCACCTGCTCGGTGTGTGTTTAGAAATGAATGGCTGGAGCTTGCAGGCGGGCTGGAGGGGCTGGGGCTTGCTTTTGGGTGCCAGGCTCTGGTGGCCTGGTGTAAGCAGCTCGTTTCGGGTGGCTCTGCCCCATCGCTCGGTGCAGATCTTGCTGCTGCCATCTCCGCGTCCCCTCTCATCATCTGCTCGTCCCGCTAAAAGGCCCTTTATTGAAAGGCCCCGAACAAGCGGGGCATTGTGCAACGCAGCCGTGTTTTCGTTTCGAAGGCTCCTTGTGAAAGTGAAAGCTGTGCCTGCTGGCTCGGGGTGCAGCCTCCCGGCAAGCCTCGCTGCTCTGCAAAACACCCGAAAAGCCCCGGGCTCGTTGGAGCTGAGGCTGGGCACCAAAAAAAACCCTGGGCTAATTGGAGCTGAGGCCGGGCACCACAACAGATTTGGCTGAAGGAGGCGAGCCACCAGGCAGTTCTCGGTCCTGGCGGTGGTCAGCGCACGTGGTGGGAGCAGATTTTCGGTTTAATCCCCGTTTTTGGGGTTTTGGAGCTGGATTTCGGCAGGGAAGGAGCCGCGAGTTCGGGCGATTCTTCAAACTCAGCCGTGTCGGAAATCTCCGGTAGTTTTGGATTACGTTTTCTGAAGTGGGTGGGTAGGGATTGGCTGCGACCTCACAAAAAAAAAAAAAAGAAAAAAGGAGGAAATTCAGGCACGCTGCTCTGCTGAGACACAAAACAGGAAATTTAGTTAAGGATTATGCTTTTTCATAATTTATTGCGTGTTTTTCCTCGTTCCTGCTAACAGACTAGAAAAAAAAGTTGTAGCCTGCGTAATCAGAAAGCACCTCTGGATCTCTGAATCTGCAGCTAGAGATTGCCCTCGCTGCTGGACTGCTGAGAAGCTGCGAAAGCCGAGGAGCCGCGGTAACTCCCGCTTTGTTCTGCCCTCACCCTGCAGAAAAAGGGAGGAAGGCTGGGGAAAGGGCTGCCCGAGAGGGATTTTTAAAAACATCCCAAAAGGGCGAGCGGGGATCAGAGCTGGCCCTGGCCTGGGGCCAGCGCTGGCGGTGGGCTCTGTGCTGCTGGGAGGATGGAGGCGGAGGGGGGGGGACGCGTGGATGGTCCAGAGCCTCCCTTCTCCGCCTTGCCCCCCTTCGGAAGAACAAAATCTATTTTTAAACGTATAGAATGGTTGGGTGTTTGCTTTTGCGAGCCCCGAAGGCTTTTTGTCCATTTCTGCCTCGTCTGCTCTCGCAGCGAGTCCTTGTGCTGTTTTTCTGGTGTTTTAACTCTTTTCTGCTCGTCCTCAGCTTGTGCTGCTGCGGCTCCGAAACTCCGGCGGGGCTGCCCGGTAGACGAGCTACAGAAACTGCTCGTAGGAGCTTATTCCTGCTGTAGTCATGGTTATTCTCATTTCCTCCAGTCTCAGGGTAACTTCTTTGTTTGCTGGCAGAGGATCAGTGTTTATGCTCAAACCGTGACGTCGCGCAGCTTCTCTGCTCGCTTACTCGCGATGAACTCTGGTACCGTTCCCAAACGCCAGCGCTGTGAATTCAGCCTTACTACGCGACTTCTCTACGAGATGAGGAGCACAGGCTTGTCGGAGAGCCTCTGTTCCCTTTTTTTTTAAAGAAAATTCCCTAGTTAAGGCCAGAAAATGTGACCGTTTTGCTCTTAGTTGTGGAATTATGTCCATAACTGTGATCGTAGAAGCGGATCCTGAGCCTCAAAACTAAAGTGGTGCCGGTCATCGGGTGGGATAGGAAATGAGCTTGTGTGAGGCACCTGCTGAAGCTGGCAGGTGGAAGTGGAACTGGGCATATTTTCTATTAGAAATAGAAAAAAAAGTGGATTATTCTCTCTTTTTGGAGGTGCTGGTTTGAAAAGCAGGGAAGGGTTGGAAGAAACCAGCCAGTGTCCAGCAGCCGAGAGCAGGTGGAGTCCTGGACGGCCGGGACTGGGGTTTGGAGGGGAAACCACAAGACTGGGAATCTGTGCTGATGGGCTTTAAACCCCGCTTTTATGTGGCTGAGGGCTTCCCAGCTGGTTTGATTGGGTTTTGCTGGTGAAGAAGTCGCAGTGTGTGAGCTGAGAGGACGCTGCCCAGCTCACCGCGGGCTCTTGCTGCTGCCGTGGCGAGGTGAGGGGGGGGCTGCAGGTAGGGGGGGATTCGTTGCTGCTCTGTGCCATGATTTAAGGTAAGGAAAAGTTGATTTTGGTACAGGTGGAATGAAGGCTGGTTAGGATTGGCACTGTAAGACCTCTCTAAGAGCAATGTAGAGGTACTCGGGGGGGACACCACCATCTCATCACGTCTTTCTCACCCATTTTTAGCCCCGCGCTCTCCAGGCTCTGACTGGCGGTGCCGAGCTTGGGGCAGGGCCGTGCTTAGGAACCTGCTGCGAATTTCCTCCCGGGGAGAGCAACCAGAGCAGCTTTCTGCCGATTTATGCTGCCGAGGTGCGATGCCAAATTCGTTTGTCAGCGCTCAAATTC